GCATAATGCATTCATGTGAATAATTTTTTGAGTTCTCTTCAACAAATGCATTGGAAGGAAAAAATTGAAATTATTTTTCAGTTTTGTACAATAATTTTGGAGGCGATTATTGGTGTTTATGCAGATTTCATGTTATTGTCAATGTTTTCTGGTTGGCGACAGTATTTGTGTCTAGTCGAAAGGTTTAAAAATTTAGTCGTTTCGAAACAGATGTATCATTTTCCTTTTCCCCATCATATACATTAGTCTGAAACAGGTCATTAAGGTTCAAAAACAGATTGAGGGGATTCGAATTAGTTGTCGGATGAATGTCAGACTGTATTAAACTATGCCGTTATTTAAACTTATAGGTTTTGTCTTTTCCTATCTCATTCATACTTCTTATAAATTTACCCTGCAAATATTACAGTAGCTAACTATATCTAAACTACAAGATGATGATTTAGACATGCTTTCTGTGTGATTAACGTCAAATAATCTATCGGTAAATAAGCCACTAGGTGAGCTGGACAAAAATGCCTCCTACAATGGTTTTTGAGAAACAAAATACCAGAAAAAGCGAACATCCTAGAAATAACTTCAATACCGTAAGAACCGTCACTTTTTCAAACATTTCGAAAACCGGTTCTATTTCCACCCTTATATATTTAAAAATAATCGATTTTCAGCAACTCATTACTGGCAATTTGCAGTTGTCCTCATGAAGTTTATCGAAGTGATACTTATCATTGTGACGGTATTTGCTGATACTTGCCGTAGTGACGATAATTTAAATCATTGTTCTAGAAACAATGATCATCTAAGGAAGTAAGTGACTAACATTTTTTAATCTACTTGATGAAATAAGCAATGTCCATGCAGTATGACAAATAATTAAAAAGATAAGATATATCAGTTCAAATTGAAATGGCTTAAATGTCGTGAGAATATTCAGCATAGTCATATTACACGTAAGGGAATTCTCCCATATCTTCCATAAATTTAATACAATTATTATAAGATATCCGAAAGCTGAACAAAACGTTGCAGCCTATTGATAACTAAGGCCCAAATGGATTTCACGTTGAAACTGTTGCGCCATTCTTCGAAAGCTAATGAAACGTCGCTGCTATCACCATTTGCAGTCGTTTCCGCAATGTCTGTATTGTATTCAGGAGCTAGAGGTAAAACCGAACGTGAGATTGGAGCAGCAATTTCCGCAGGTAATAAACTGTTTGAGATATAAATATTACAAATCAGTACGATTCTATTGAATAATGTAGAAGAGTTATTTTGACAAAAATTTCAGCGTAATTAATCACTTATCATAGCAAGGAATCAAAATTCAAAATTCTCTTTTCAAATTTGATAACTTCATAAAAGCTCTTCGACTCAAGAAAACAACTTACTTGTAAGGGTTTA